ACTGTGTCAAAAGCAGCTGAAAGATCTAGGAGAATCAGAATAGCAGTATTACCTTCATCCACAGTAAACACAAGATCATTAAATACTCGCAACAGCGCTGATTCGGTACTGTGGTGTGTCTTAAAACCAGACTGGAACTTTTGACATATGCCATTATTCTCTAAAAAAGTCTGTAACTGTATAAAAATTGTTTTCTCTAAAATCTTAGCCGAAAAATGGTAGCTTAGAAACTGGTCTAAAATTCGATAAATCAGTACAATCAAGATTGGGTTTTTTAAGAATTGTTTGAACTGCTGCATGTTTAAGTGCCGTTGGGACAATCCCAGAAGCCAAAGAGCCATTAATAAGATTGACAATGTCCAAACCAATACTATGAAAAACCTCTTTAAACAGAGCTGCTGGCATAATGTCCAAAGGACAATAAGAGGGTTTCACAAGCTGAACTACTTTCATAAGAGCAGCTAATGAAATAGGCTCAAACTGGTCGAAAACAGCTGAGCATATTGGAGCAACAGAAGGATCCAGAACAGAATCATCAATCTGGGATTTGATCATAACAATTTTATCCACAAAAAATTGAAGAAACTCATTACAAGTAGCGGAGGACACATCCGTCCAAGCAGCAGTAGATGGATATAAGACTGCATTTATGGTGCTGAACAACACCCTGGGTCTATGACAATTGTTTACAATAAGCCAGGAAAAGTATTGAGCTCTAGCATGTTTGACAGCACTTTGATAATCTCTTAATCAGTTTTTTTAAATATCCAGCGAAATGTGAAGAAACGTGAAGAAGAAATGTGCTTAACCCTAACTTTAACCTAACGCTAAAATTAAATGGTTTACATGGTGGAGACGAGCATCTGGTCCCCATAAGGAAGGCGGAGTCCACGCGATTTGTTTGTGTAAACAGGTTTCCCCCACAGTGTGAGTAATACCAGGCACTAGGGGTGTAATATCGATGTCAGTTTTAATGTCAATTTAGTTATAAAACAAATTAAAACAACACAGTTTGCCAAAGTACTGTTCATAGTAAAATAAGTTAAAAACATAAAACAAGTATAAAAAAAACATGGAACATAAAAATCATGGTTCAGTATATACCTCAGTTTTGAAGTCACTGTTTGGTTCTTTTTTTGGTACAGTAAAAGGAAAAAATACAAGTCATTAAATTGCTTGTTTTGCTTCCATGACTTCAGGGGAAATTACATTGACTTACATTCATTTGCTGCAGAGTTAACTTTAAACATGACCGCTACTTGCTTAACACCAACCCCAAACAGAGGAATTACCTTCTGGGACATGATGACCGTAGACCATGATGATCCTATTTGCTCCCTAAAATCCACAAACAATGAAGTCCCCCAAGACATCCTTTAGTTGGGGTTTATCCATCATTGTAACCTACTGAAATGGAATGAGCCAGTTTCTGCAGACAGCAGCGCAGGGGGGCTGTGGAATTCATTGTGTGGATGCTGTGTCAGCATCCACACTGTTAACCTGTTCTTTATTGTATAGATGCTGAAAAGTATCCATACTATGTTATCCTGTTCTTTATTGTATGGATGCTGAAAAGCATCCACACTATGTTTTCTTCTTCTTCTTCTTCTTTCGGCTGTTCCTGTTAGGGGTTGCCACAGCGAATCATCTGTTTCCACCTAACTCTATCCTCGGCATCCTCTACTCTCACCCCAATTAACTTCATGTCCTCTTTTAGCACATCCATATATCTCCTCTTTGGCCTTCCTCTTGACCTCTTGCCTGGCAGCTCCATCTCCAAAATCCTTCTACCAATATAACTGCTATCCCTCCTCTGCACATGTCCAAACCATCTCAATCTGGACTCTCTGACCTTGTCCCCAAAACAGCCGACCTGAGCTGTCCCTCTGATGTGCTCATTCCTAATCCTGTCCATCCTGGTC